ATTTGAAAATCAATTTTACCAAATTTAATAAAAACCCGATAATACAAATCCGACCACATCAAACTATGTTTGAGCCCATCCCTCCACATTTCATGTTACACAAAAAATGTGATCGTACTGGTATATCAGCAGATCTATAAAATTATTGTGCCCTAAAATATTTAATATTAGGTAGCTGTGCTACATAGTTGTGCTGAAATCAGGAACTGCGCTAACTTTAATGCCAATTATAATTTTTATGATAATAGATTCTAATATGAACAATGATAGCTGTTTATCAAAATGTAACCAATGTAATAGTATAATTATTGTAGAAAAGGGTGAACAATCGGAAATTAGAAGGATGCTGTCATAACCAGTTAAGAAATTATGTAGTGTGGATTGAATATTATGAAATCTCTTTTAAGATTCTGTAGAATTTTTCAATGAAGTGACAAGACGACCATGAAGTCTGATGACTATGAGATCACATGTTCAATTTGTTATTTCCTTATCTATTATAATTTCTTGTTAACGTTAAATGCAATTTTTTTTGATTTAGTAGTATGATTGCGTATGGTAGTTGAAGCTCAATTACATACGGTGATTATTAGCAAACAAGTAGGAAAACAAAATGGTTTCAACATCTAATCAGTAATATAAGAAAAATGGGATTATTTCTTGCCAGTGTCAAGATATTTAAGGGCCTTTGTTTAATAGAGGCAGTTATCTTTCCTTTTGCTACCGATCATTTTGTAGTGAAGAGTGGCTCTTCATCACCTCTCTCCCACCCCTTAATGATTCGAGAAAACCAAGGTTGCATTGATGCTCCTTGCTTAGTAAGTCTTAAAAATCCAATATTGGTAGGTATGGGTATGTAGTGAATAACTCAGTTACACACGGCTTCATATCCATGTATAGATGCAGACATTTGAAGACGTATGGTTACGTCCAATTGACGTGTCGTCACGTCAAAAGTGTCATAACGACGTAGGTCATAATAATTAACACTTGCCGTAACCTTAGTTCTGTAGTTACGGCAATAAAGATGGTTACGTCAAATGAGTTTTTTAATAAGAATTTGATTATACAATCTTTTTTTCAATTATTTTTTCGATCAAAAAAATTTAATGGACAATCATTTGTTAGTCGAAGTCTATATAATTTAATTTAAATTCGGAAACATTTTCTATTTCATTCATGAGAATAAAAATTCTCAAATGTATGCATTTACAATAAGCATTCGTTTGTTGAATTTATCTTTACATAATATGTCTTTCTAAAAGTTTATTTGTATAAATCTAGCGGTGGGCATGCTGATTATTTATTAATTAATAATGTACGTATTTAATAATTTGTTAATCTTAGTATTGATTTTTGTACATGTCAAATCAAATCTTATATACGTACGTACGTACGTAATTAATGGTACGTAAATCAAACAATTTAAAACTGTTACAGTTAAAGAAATATTACAGCGTATGTTGAATGGAAACAGAATCTAAGTAGATTCGGAATTTTCTAGTTAAATTTATCAGGTTTACATATGACAAACACTACCCTAAATACTAGAATTCCGAATCCATTTAAATTCTGTTTCTATTTGCAACACATAAATCAAAAATTTACAGCATACATCAACTATTACAGCACATGCTACGGCAAACGTTAGTTATAGCTTTTTGACGTACCGATATATCTTCGAGTTACGTCTAATTGACGTTAAGATAAATTATGACGCTGAAATATGTCTGCATCTATATATCCATGGCATTCGCCACAGAGTTAAATATGAACCCGTGTGTGTGTAACTGGGTTATTCAATGTCGGGGATGATGCTGAAACAAGATGATGCTGAAACATTGACTTATTTTAATATGAAATTTTAAATTTTTGGGGGAATGTTTTTTTTTAACTTTTTTTTTGTAGTTAAGTTAGGGTTTAGAGCTAGTGTTTATAATAAAAAAGTATAGGTGGATTCTAGTAGGGTTTATATTTCTAAATTGAGACCCCACGTTTCAGCATCATCCCGACATTCAATATACCCACACAATAATTATCTTATCGCACGGTGTCTGACGTAACAATCCCGTGCAATAACCAAATGAAAAAAGCACGGGTTTTCACATAAGACCCGTGCAATAAAGATAATTTATTTCTTGAACTATTTAAATTCAAATTTAATAATATTTATATGTATATCAAATTTTTAAAATACATAAAACTATAAATTTTTATTAAACTTAATAATTTATAAAAAAAATCAATATTTCTTTATAAAAATTTAACTTTATTTAGTATTGTTAATAAAATATGATTTTGACTTTTTGAACATTTTGACAAAAAAAATCTAGTAATCAAAATTGTATTATTATATTTTCTAAATAAAAGGTTCAAAACTAAAATAAAACTTAACATTTATCTATAATATTTTATAATCATGTGACTTCTAAATTCCAGTAAATATTGGAATTTGGATTTATGGGCCTACTAAACGAAAACTGTTGGAAGCGGGAATTCTATGGGGTCGTCGAGATCGGGGCCTTTTATGGGGACTGGATCGGAGTCATCTGTACATTTGCCATCCTTACATTCGTTGCTAAAACAATCATCGTTACCAGAGCATGCAACTCCTCTGGAACACAATCCTTGTTTATTTCCAGCACAAACACATACATTATTGATACAAGCTCCAATAATACAATCACCAGTGCTATCACATGGTTCTCCATCATCACAATCTCCATTCCCATTCCCACATGCACAACTTCCATCATCAAGACAATGATTAGAAATACAATCACTGTTTTTAGTACAAGGGTCTGCAGCATTGCCTTTTCCTTGTCTTTTAATAATATCAAGAAAATTTTTCTTGGCATGCACAACCTTTTAATCATCAAATAAATAATAATAATTATAATAAAATAAAAAAAAATGTTATTTAAATTTAATGCGAATTAATAACAGCTTAATGAAAGATAGTGTACCTTTGTTTGTGAGCAATAAGGTCATAATCACCAATATACAAATGAAAAGATATAAACCGAAACGATACTTCATTTTTTATGTTAGAAAGAAATAAGAATTTTGTTATTTATAATTGATAAAATTATTTTCTAATTTGTCAGGTTTGTCAGGGCAATATATATATCTGGTTTTGATTATTGTCTGATCGTCAAAAAATGAATCACACTACGAGGAATCTAACTATAAACATGATGAGTTCTCAAAACGTAATATGTTTCTCAAAACGTAATATGTTTAAGTTAAAATTTTGGTTAAGTAATATGTACTTATAGATTCAAGGAATTAACCAAATGGGGAATTGTTTTTGAACCCGGGGTTGACCATGGGTTGACCCGTGGGTCATAGGTATGATTGGTTGATATAAATCAGTTGACTGAATAACTA